ATCAAGTAGGATTCATCCCTGGGATGCAAGGATGGTTCAATATACGGAAATCAATAAATGTTATTCACCACATCAATAGACTTAAAAATAAGAACCATATGATCATCTCAATAGACGCAGAAAAAGCATTCGACAAAGTACAGCATCCCTTTATGTTCAAAACATTAGAAAAACTAGGGATAACAGGAACTTACCTTGACATTGTAAAAGCTATCTATGCTAAGCCTCAGGCTAGCATCATTCTCAATGGAGAAAAATTGAAGGCATTCCCCCTAAAATCTGGAACAAGACAGGGATGCCCTCTATCACCACTTCTATTCAATATAGTTCTCGAAACACTGGCCAGAGCAATTAGACAGACGAAAGAAATTAAAGGCATAAAAATAGGAAAGGAAGAACTTAAATTATCACTATTTGCAGATGACATGATTCTATACCTAGAAGACCCAAAAGGGTCTACAAAAAAACTACTAGAACTAATAAATGAATTCAGCAAAGTGGCAGGATATAAAATCAACACGCATAAATCAAAGGCATTTCTGTATATCAGCGACAAAACTTCTGAAACGGAAATGAGGAAAAACACTCCATTCAAAATATCCTCAAAAAAAAATAAAATACTTGGGAATCAACCTAACAAAAGAGGTGAAAGATTTATATAATGAAAACTACAAAACCCTAAAAAGAGAAGTAGAAGAAGATCTTAGAAGATGGAAAAATATACCCTGTTCATGGATAGGCAGAACTAACATCATCAAAATGGCGATATTACCAAAAGTTCTCTATAGGTTTAATGCAATGCCAATCAAAATCCCAACGGCATTTCTTGTAGAAATGGATAAAGCAATCATGAAATTCATATGGAAAAATAAAAGACCCAGAATAGCAAAAGCAATTCTAAGCAGGAAGTGCGAATCAGGCGGTATAGCGATACCAGACTTAAAACTATATTACAGAGCAATAGTAACAAAAACAGCATGGTACTGGTACCAAAACAGGAGGGTGGACCAATGGTACAGAATAGAGGACACAGAGACTAATCCACAAAGCTACAACTATCTTATATTTGATAAAGGAGCTAAAAGCATGCAATGGAGGGAGGATAGCATCTTCAACAAATGGTGCTGGGAAAACTGGAAATCCATATGCAACAAAATGAAACTGAATCCCCTCCTCTTGCCATGCACAAAAGTTAACTCAAAGTGGATCAAGGAGCTTGATATCAAATCAGAGACTCTGCATCTGATAGAAGAAAAAGTTGGCTCCGATCTACATATTGTAGGGTCGGGCTCCAAATTCCTTAATAGGACACCCATAGCACAAAAGTTGATAACAAAAATCAACAAATGGGACTTACTTAAACTGAAAAGTTTTCTCTCAGCAAGAGAAACAATAAAAGAGGTAAATAGGGAGCCTACATCATGGGAACAAATTTTTACTCCTCACACTTCAGATAGAGCCCTAATATCCAGAGTATACAAAGAACTCAAAAAATTAAACAATAAGAAAACAAATAACCCAATCAACAAATGGGCCAAAGACCTGAACAGACACTTCTCAGAGGAGGACATACAATCAATCAACAAGTACATGAAAAAATGCTCACCATCTCTAGCAGTCAGAGAAATGCAAATCAAAACCACCCTAAGATACCATCTCACTCCAGTAAGATTGGCAGCCATTATGAAGTCAAACAACAACAAGTGCTGGCGAGGATGTGGGGAAAAGGGTACTCTTGTACATTGCTGATGGGACTGCAAACTGGTGCGGCCAATCTGGAAAGCAGTATGGAGATTCCTGGGAAAGCTGGGAATGGAACCACCATTTGACCCAGCTATTGCCCTTCTTGGACTTTTCCCTGAAGACCTTAAAAGAGCATACTACAGGGATACTGCTACATCGATGTTCATAGCAGCACAATTCACAATTGCTAGACTGTGGAACCAACCCAGATGCCCTTCAATAGATGAATGGATAAAAAAAATGTGGCATTTATACACCATGGAGTATTACGCAGCACTCAAAAATGACAAAATCATAGAATTTGCAGGGAAATGGATGGCACTAGAGCAGATTATGCTTAGTGAAGCTAGCCAATCCCTAAAAAACAAATACCAAATGTCTTCTTTGATATAATGAGAGCAACTAAGAACAGAGCAGGGAGGAAGAGCAGGAAGAAAAGATTAACATTAAACAGATACATGAGGTGGGATGGAAAGGGAGAGAAAAGGGAAATTGCATGGTAATGGAGGGAGACCCTCATTGTTATACAAAATTACATATAAGAGGTTGTGAGGGGAATGGGAAAATAAACAAGGAGAGATATGAATTACAGTGGATGGGGTAGAGAGAGAAGATGGGAGGGGAGGGAGGGGGGATGGTAGAGGATAGGAAAGGTAGCAGAATACAACAGTTACTAATAGGGCATTATGTAAAAATGTGGATGTGTAACCGATGTGATTCTGCAATCTGTATTTGGGGTAAAATTGGGAGTTCATAACCAACTTGAATCTAATGTATGAAATATGATATGTCAAGAGCTTTGTAATGTTTTGAACAACCAATAAAAAAAATTAAAAAAAAAAGGAAATAGAAAGTAATGAAAGCCTGAACTCAGGTATTGAAAGTTAAAAGGGGAAAGAGGGCTTATACATGTTATATTATAGGGGTCATCTTATGAGAAATCAGCAATTGATTGATGGTGAGCAGTTGTGAGTCAAAGGCTGCTTTGAGATTTCAGCCTGGATTGACATGATGGTGTTTTCATAGAAACAGGAGAGGAAATGAGAAAGAGAAGACAATTTACTCAATTTTGAAAATATGAGAAGCTAATGAAACATCTTTGCAAATGTATTAGCTATCAAGAAAAGAAATTTATCTCTGAAACTTGAAACTAGAGAGATTTGAACAGGTGCATGCAGAGGTCCTATCATAGGCAAGTGGGAAGTGATGGAAAGAATGAGAGAACATAGGACAGAACTATGGGTGAGTCCAAGCTTCTTGTACAGAAGGAGGCAGAGTAACCAGCAGAGGCTGAAGATGCAGGAGACTCAGAACAAAGCTTCATCAAAACTAAAGAGTGATTTCAGAAGGGATGGTCATGAAGCCAGTCACTCTGGAGTAGTTAGAGCAGATGAGGCCGTTGTTTTGGATGGTCAGGGAATCATTGGAGAAAGTATTTTTGGCAAAAGGTGAAAGAAGCCAAATTCTAAGCAGCTTCAGAATCAGAATCAGTACAGATCAATAGATTGGATAGAGCTAGGGGTGTGATTGGGAAAGTTTAGAAAAGCAGCAAGAGAGTTTTTTATGACTCAGAAGCACAAAAGGCAACTTTTAGGATGCTTTCATTTGAAGAGAGAAAAATCTGTTGCTAGAAATGTTGTCTGAAAACCAGTAGGGCAGGAGACACGTGAGAGGGGATTGAGACCAGGAGTCAGAAAGAGGAGAAAGTGAGAGTGTAGAAACTGGGAAGTACGGCTCAGGAGGGATGTGTGATCAACAAGGGGGATTCAGATATGGAGATCTTGGAGATCTATCCAAGTTGATGAAATGGAGAGCCGGGCTGGGCCCATAGAGCAGCATTAGGGTGGAATTGCTAATAAGCAACACTGAGAGGAAAGGACCCAAAGCCAGCAGGTTCAAAGGTCATCACCATGACAACGACAAGGAAAAGTCAGGGACAAGAGCAAGTTGACTAAGAAAAAAGACCCCAAGTCAGAAAGTAGATGAGAGGGAATTTTGAAAAAGTAGAAAACTATGAACTTGCAGATGAGACAAAGCAGAAATAAGTACAGACTATGTAATTTTGTTTATTTTTACATCTTTACAGGACTGGGGATTGAACCCAAGGGCACTTTGAATCCCCAGCCTTTTGAATTTTTTATTTTGAGACAGGGTTTCATTAAATTGCTTAGTCTGGGCTCCAACTTGCAATCCTTCTGCCTCAGCCTCCCAAGCCTCTGGGTTTACAAGTATATATCATTGCACCTGAGGACTATGGGATTTTAAACAGGAGCCAGGAGTATTATAAAACTTTCTCTTTCTTTGTCCAGACAGGGGGAGTGAAGGAAAATGGGTTGTGGTTATAGTGGGTTTTGAGGTATCTGGTGTCATCAGGCTTTAATTACAGTACAGGGGCTATAGAAACCTTTTTTGGAGAAAATAGCATTTCAACATAGAACTATGCAGGCAGAGAATGTGCTCTGAGTGCACAGGTGGCCAGCTCCAGTGGGCATGGTCCAGGGGAGCCAACCAGGAGAGGTTCAGGTCTTTTATGATCAAATCTGGGCTTGGGAATAAGAAAGAGCTGTCTAGCTGAAGGCTCAGATGAGTGTTAGAGAAATGAATTAAACAGGAGACAACAGGTAGGCTTGAGAACCAGAGGAAAACACTGAGGAAGTAAAATGTGGGGATAGGAGGAGTGCATAGTTTAAATGAGACTTCATTATGCCAACTCAGTGCTGAAATAAGGTTGAGGACCAGCACAGCTTCAGTGGCCAGATTTAGATTAATTATGTCTTCAAAGTTGAAGATCAGGTTTTTTGTAAAAAGTCATTAAAGCTCCAGCACAGATGTCTAAAGTAGGAAAACATTAGACCAGTCCGCCGAGTTCCCCTTTCTCTAGATAGGACCCAGACACACATAGAGATGGAATAGCCTTCCCCAAGGGCCCCCGGATGGTGCTCAATGATAGAGCCAGGACCACAACCCATATGCCCATATCCCAAGGCCGTCCTATTCCTGCAGCCCCCATTTTAGTTCCCGGTTTGTGGGTATAAAAGAGGGAACTCCACTGGTGTTATAACTAAAATATGACAAATTGGGGGAGAGTCATTTATCTTGTTTGGCTCTGGCCAACCTTCTTGCTAAAAAGCCAAAATTTAAACTCTCACCATTACCAATGAGCTTTTGTTCAGGGACATGACCTATTTGGGAAATGCTGGTATTCCTGGTACTTGCCTAAACCTAAAATTATTCTTTTTCATGTTTTTTTCCTCCAGTGTCTTTAGCCTCTAGCACAGTGGGATTGGCTGGACAGGTTGTTCACACGGAAACCACAGAAGTTGTGTTGACAGCAGATCCTGTCACAGGATTTGGAATCCAACTGCAGGGCAGTGTGTTTGCCACAGAGACTCTCTCTTCTCCACCTCTGATTTCCTATATTGAAGCTGACAGCCCAGCAGAGAGGTGAGATGTGTTTCTTTCACAGCATCTTTTTCTGCTGTGCATTTCTGGTGCTGGCTATCTTTGAATGGCTAATAAATTATGGAACAGTGCTCAATGCAGGTAATGCAAGATGCAATGAACTCTGTTGTGATAATAAAATTTTATGTTCTTGATCATATTTAAGAAGAATTATAAGCATGAATGCCTTAATCTAGCAGATTCTTGTCCATCAGGAGACCAGAGGCTATATTAATTAAAAAGGAGAAAAATCCATGAAAAAAAAACTGAAATTCAAACCTCAGTAATTTCTCTACCATGCAGGAATGTATCAGTTCTGATCAGATTATAACAATACTATGAGCATGGAATATTAATTACTTCCCTGGAGTACTTCAGGATTCCCTTGCCCACATTTGTAGCAAAGAAATGCAAAAGTGGAAAATATTGCAATTGACCTGATATGATTCCCACGGCATTGAATAAACAAGACCAAACAGTCATGCTATTTTGCAAGGATCAAACAAGGTAGATCTGGCAAGTTCAACTTGATGATTATGTATTCTACCTACAACCTCTATCATGTGGCTTTAAATTAGATGCGGTGTGCTACAGATTGGAGACAGAGTGATGGCCATAAATGGAATTCCAACTGAAGACAGCACCTTCGAGGAAGCCAATCAGCTCCTCCGAGACTCTTCCATCACTAGCAAGGTCACCCTGGAAATCGAGTTTGATGTCGCAGGTATAGTCCAAATCTCAAGTCAGTGGCAGCTTTGGGAGCTGGCCACATCTGAATTATATTGTTTATGTGGCAAGAAGGGGAATTATTTTTTTATATACTGACCATGTTTTTGTTTAAGGGGTTTCAGGTGTCATTTTGAATTGCACATTGTTTTTGTATTATTCATTAAAATGTCACCACCAGAACAACCGAAAATAAATGTGACATATTGAATACGTAATAGCTACTATGGAGGTGATTTCAAAAAGTCCTGTTGCCTTTATCCTAACCTTCCCCTCTGTGCTAGAGAAACCAAATTCTTTAATCCCAGAAATGAGAAAAGCCTATCTGATCCTTCCCACTGCAAAGAACACAGGGAAGTTATATAGGGAGCAATAAAAATTCATTAAGTAAATTTATACAAGCCTAGTAGGTAAATATTTGGCCTTTAGTGTTAGAGAGAAATTGCAACAGACACTCATTTAAAATAACAAACAAAGACTTTATTCAAGACTATGTCAATTGGGTCAAGATTATTGTAGTAAGAGAGAGATTGGACTCCATCCTATGCAGCTAGGACAGGTAGGGATTTCTATTAGCTAATGGACAGGTGAGGGTGAGAGTGTTATTGATGGGACATTTCTAAAAGGATCCTGATTAGATGGGAACAGGGTGGTGTCTATACACTGGCTCAGGAATTTTCTTACTAAAACTGAGCTCCCAAGTCAAGGAAAAGTCCTAGTCAAGAAGAGGGCTCAGAGGAGTCTAACTAGAATTTGGTCATGGGTGGGAGTCCTAGTTAGTAACTAGCAGGTATGTGGCTGATAGAGATTGATTCTACTTCCCATTTAAGAAAGTTGGATATTCACAGTGAAAATCCACTAACATTCACCCGTCAGGAAAGACACACCTTTGGGAAGCAGGAATCAGATAATTCCAACAAATATTTGCTGAATTATTTATTCTATACTCCCACACACAATGTAGATATAACAATAGACAGGAAAGGAAAAAAAATACACCTGTCTTCATCAAGCATATATTAGCACAGAGGGTTAATTTAGAAAGCAATGCATATAAACATAGATAATAGTATGTTCTCAGCAGAAAATAAAGCAGGATAGAGGGCTAGGGAATGACTGGGGGAGCTATCTTGAAGGATGATTCTCTGAGGAAGTGACATTTGAGTGGAGATTGGAAGTAGAGAAAGTGTCAGCCATCAAAGACTCAAGAAAACAACATTCCAGAGAGGGAGCAGCCAATATAAAGAACTTGAGCTTGAATAATAAGATTGGTGGGGAAGCAGCCAAAAGGGCTTCTTCTGCTGGAGCATATAAAGGGGTAGAGGTGAGAACTGGTTTGGATTTGGAGTTGGGGTTGGAGAGGCTAGAAGGGGCCGCATTATACAATGCCCTGATAAAGAACTAATATTTAAGTCTAATGAAGCCAAGGAGCATTTTATGCAGGAGAGTAGTTGGTAAGCTGATGAATGTTTCAGAAAGAGCCTTCTGAAATGTAAGGAGGAAAAATTGGACAGGTAAAGAATCATGGTGACTTGACAAGGGTATAGCGCTAAGAAGTGGTGACAATGGAATTCAGACCATGGCATGAGGCAGGGCTTAGAGATTAGATATGGAAGATGAAGGAAAGGAAACTATTTTTTTTTCAGGGGAAAAAAAAGGAGTTCTATCCTCAGGCATGAGTTGAAAACTCCATTGCTAATACCGGAGACAATTGCCAATACCAACACAAGCACGACTCTTAATTCAAAAGGCAGCTACTGAGCACCCTTACTAAATGGTAGGCCCTATGCTATGTTCAGATCAATGGAAAAGAAAATAGGAGAGATCAATATCCCCAAGAAGTTCATATTCAAGTGAACAGGAATAAGCACTGCTGAAAGACAAGAGGCTTGCTGAATTTGTATGGCTACTGGAGGACAGAGGGAAGGGCCCAGGAAGACAACACCTCCAAGAGCTTGGGATTGGGGTCCAGGCTCATGAGCAGGACCAAGGAGTAGCCAACATATATATCAGTGATGGTTAAAGTCATGGGGGAAAAGATGAGCATTAGGGAGAGTGGGGTTAAGAAGGTAACTGAGCAAGCGGGAGCAAGTAGACAAGAGTTCTACCTGATGAATACTGAGATTATAAGTGGTGACATGGTAGGTAGCAAAGGAGATAAAGAAGATGACAAATGAGAAGTGGGAGGAGAACCAAAAAAAAAAAAAGGTGTCATTTTGGAATAGCAAAAGTTTCAAGGCAAAAGTCATAGTCAATAATATAATATCACTGCAGGGAATTCAAAGCAGGAAGGGTCCTTTGTTTTGGCAATTAGAATTTAAAAAAATACTGCCAGTGTAGGTTTAGGGGTGTGGGGGCAGAAGTCAGATCACAGTGAGCTGAGTAAGGGAATGGTGAGAGTACAGACATACTGTGCCTATCGTCTGCCTTGGGTTTGGGTTTGGAAAGTGAGGTTAGCAGGAAAAATGCAGTAAACAGGTGAAAATGACTGGGAGCCCCTATAGGTTCCTTTTTATAAAACTTTTACTGTGTTTAGTTATGTGCTCATTGCTCTGTTGTATGCGCCTTATCCTTTATTCAATAGTTCTCAAGCAGGTTTAATTTTGTCCCAGGGGACATTTGGCAAGGTCACAAAGTTTAGTCATAGAGAAAAGAGGTAGGACAACAGATAGAGGGAGATTTGTAGTTCAGAGGTGGCTTATTTCATTTTGTTGAGATTGGAGATATTTGAGCATGGCTGGGACCTAAAACGAATGAGGGAGAGAAAAGATGATTGGCAGAATCAGGTCCCAAAAGGAATGAGAAGGAGATGTTGTCTAGAACATAAGTAGACAGCTACCCTAAGGCAGAAGATGGAAGACCTCTTCTCATGAATTTGAAGAAAAGGATATGAGACTGTAAATACATTTTAAGCTATGTCTCAGTAGTTCATGTAAGCAACTGTGAAAGGGTCTGTAGCTTGGGGAGTTGAAAAAAATGATGTTGGTTTGTACGTGCAAAGAATGAGTGAGAAAACCAACCTGAGGCACAAAAAGGAATTTCCAAGTTAGGTGGGGGACCAAGCAGAGTGTGGAAGCTCTGTGTGTACAGCAGAGTCAACCTGTCTGATGAATATGGATTTTTGTCCTATTTCATTTTGGTTTGAGGAAATCTTAGATGCCAAGGAATAAGAACAGAGAAACAGAGCATTGGATTAGATCAGAGACTGGGATTTCTAGACAAGGCTAAATAAAAGAACCCAAATCAAGGAGGTACAAACCACTGCTGAGAGAGAAGATGAATAATTCTGAAAATAGCACACTAATTACCATGATGATATTTACCAAGTGCTCACTGTGTAGCCTGTCACTTTCCTAAGTACTATGTGTGCATTAGATCATCTCACCCACATGACAGCAATGGCAGAGGTCGCTAGTGTTAACATCCTCAGAAAATCAGAGCCCACAGCAGTAATGGTGGGGCTGGCATTTTAACCCCAGCTGGCTGGCTTCAAAAGACACACTCCACCACTACACTAAACTGCCTGTGTTTGAAAGAATCTGAGTTGGAGACGGAAAGAATCAATAAAGGATCGGCCTGATAGACTGAGAGGAAAGGGAGGACTTAAGGAACTGGGGTCTCCAGGAAGAAAAAAGGGTACATTGAGAGAAAACAGCTTAGAGAGCTATAGCTGGGAGGTTGAGGCCAGTGATGTATTAGAGTTTTGAATTTCAGGGAAGGTTAAGCAAGGCTTAAGGTACTGATGTTCTAAAGTGGAGTGGAGGCAAAGATCATTCCACCCAGTAGACCTGGGAATGGAGAATGCAGAACGAGGGAAAGACCATCCACACTGTGAAATTTTCCAGAAGAATGTTGGGACTGAAATTAGGAAGGGAGTTGGAACCACCTGTACTTGACATGTGGTGACTGTGTCCTCTGTCTGGACAGTTCTTCCCTGATGTGTCTGGGTGGTTTGTTTACTTTATTCAGGTTCAAAGGCTACTCACTCAGAAAAGCTTTCCTTGACCCTCTATCCCTCTCCTCCTGCCCAGATTGAGGGTTCTTACCCTGATGCTTGATACTGTGTTATAGATTTATTTGTAGTCTCTCTTCTCCAGTAGAAAGACCAAGCAATGTCAGGATTTTGTGTTTTTGTTCATGAATGTACCCTCAGCACCCAAAAACATGCACGGAATACAGCAGGCTCTTGGTCAGTACTTGGTGAATGAATGAACAAAAGGATGAAGAGCAGTTGGGGGCTGGATCAAGAACTTTAGTTTACATCAAGAACTGAGATCAAACCCACTTTCTCTTGGGGAGTTGAAAAGAATGATGTTGGTTTGCACGTGCAAAGAATGAGTGAGAAAACTAACCTGAGGCACATAAAGGAATTTCCAAGTTAGGTGGGGGGATCTAACTCTCTGGGTTTCCTGGTCTTAGAGCTGCTTCTTTTGCAGTCTGTTCTATTTGTTTTTATAGAGAAGCGCTCTCTCTCTCTCTCTCTCTCTCTCTCTCTCTCTCTCTCTCTCTCTCTCTCTCTCCATATATATATATATGGTCAATGGACCTTTGTTTTATTTATATGTAGTCCTGAGGATCAAACCCAGTGCCTCACAAATGCTACACAAACACTCTACCACTGAACTACAACCCCAGCCCCCTTCTCCCTGACTTTTTATTGTACATTTTGGCCCCATCTTTGCTAAAGTATCCAGCCAGTTCTAATTTCTAACTCCTAGGAAAGCAAATCTAATAGGCCAGCTTAGGTTGAGTATCCTTCCCTTCCAGTCAGCTGTGACCCAGCAGGAACCAGGTAGAAGGACCAGGGAGAAAGACTCTGTCATAATCAGATGGCTGTGAAGTTAGGGTTCCAAACAGGAAGGTTGCCCACCTCCCCCAGATGTACTTACTACAATGACAGAACATTAGTGGTAAAAAGAGTCTTATACTCCCATACCTTTGTTTATTTATAAGCGGGGAACTGAGGCTCAGCTGGGCTACTCTAGGTCATACAGCAAAGTGAATCGTACACCCTAAAGCAACTGACTTGCAGCCCACAATGCCCATATCGTATCACACTGGCTGTTTAATTAGAAAAATAAAATATGAACAAATTCCTGTATGTCTGCCCTACTGAAAGCCTGTGTTACAGGGAGTTGTGAATCCCGCACACAGTAGGACAATCAGCAGCACCTACTCACTGCATTTCAGTACTGGAATGACCAACACAATTTGACCTTCTTCATAAACAGTATCTAAGTATTACCTTGTGCTATCAATGCATTTTTATTTTATATGGATCCTTGAAATTTGTTCATTGCTTAATGCATACTTAATGTATATTTTAATATTTGCTGATTTAATGCTTTAATATCTTAAGTTTAAGGTCCTAAAAAATAAGAGCTGCATCTATTAAAACTTCTTTATTCAGTACCCATATTTGATAAGGGCCAAGAACAAGAAACTTAAGGTCATCTTCCCAGCCTTTGTTTGTTCCAGAAAGCAACCCATTTCAGATGGAGATGATCTAAAATAGAACAAGAAAAAAAATGTATTCCCATCGTCATTCCCTCTTCCCTACTCATGTCAGACATCACTAATGATATGGCTGTTCTCCTGCAGACACAACATCCAAATTTGAAGGCTGAGGGACATCAAATTTTTATTGTGTTCTCTGTGGTGAACCTTCCTATTTAGTCATTACTCATCGACTGGAATCTAAAATTCTTTTTTTTTAATCCTTTTTAGTCAGTCAATAACTTGGGAGAGTGATTAGGGAACCCCTGGATGTAAGTGGTTTCAGGATGGCCCTGTCCTGGATTCACTCTTAAATGTCTGGATGTGAGCTATCCATTTCTAAACTTGTTCCCCAGAAATAGTTTATACCCTGATATTACTTCTCCCACACTTGGGTCTCACAGGGACTACCTCAATTTTATAAACATTTTAAATGACATAAAGGTGGTTAAAAGCTTAACTCTGAATATACTTTTGCCCAAATCTTTCTGTTAGTAGATAGTAGTACACAAACAACATCATAGTAACATTAATAAAATTTTTTTAAGTCAAAAGTGCTCATAACACCATCACTCTAAGAAATAAAAGTTTAAACTCTTTACATTCCTTTACCAAAAATCCTTTACTATATGTATAATTTTATAAAGTTGTAGCATGAACACAATTTACATTTTGCCTCGTTTGATTCTTTTAAATACCAAACTACCATGAAGTATATCATGCCTACTTGAAATTTCTTCTCTAAGTCTGAAGTTATTTTGTTGGGGAAAATAAAGCTTTGTTCTGGAAAGAAGTCTCAGTGCAAATCCTATCAAATGATGTTTATCACCATTGCTGGAGTCCCACGCTTTCATCTGAGGGGGGCAGTTAAACATTTGCACTCCTCACAAGGGCGCCCAATGGATGAATTATGATATGGCGCTTATCTCACTGTGCCAACAATAAATGCTTCAGGCAGAAAATCAGACCAATGGGAAAGAAGCAAACCTTTTTACCCAAATGTGTTTTTAATTATAGTATTAACAAAGATAAAGCAAAACCAGGGAAGTGCAAAATAATCACTTGGGAGTCTAGCAAAATAAACATCATCTGTTCTCAGAATTATATTTATTTACTCTAAACCTGTTGTTTTTCCAAATATTGAAACCTTTTCTCCCTTAGTTTTTTTTTTTTTTTGCTTATAAAACCTCAAATTAAATATGCTTTTGCTTTAACAGCCAAATAATTATATAAGGAAAAATTACAAATATAAAACAAATCATGTTGGCATTTAGGGATTAAAACGAAGCCACAGCTTGATCAAAGAGATTCATTGGTTGATATTTATTTATCATTATGAATATTTCACATTTTATGTAGTCAAAGTGATCCATTACTGTTTTCCAGGAAGTGATAATATCCCTTCCAATACCATTAACAATATTAATCTTGGTCAAGGTTCCCTGCTTTAAAAATTTATAAAAGCAAAAGGTTGCTATAGTAACTATTCTAGATCAGTGTTCTCTGGCCCTGTTGATTCTAAAACCCTCACTTGTATTTGTATAAGGACAGTGTCGCAGATAAGATGTTATATCCATACAGAGATCCATAAACACAAACATACAGTATGCTCCCCTCCCCTTTCACAGTAAGACTTTTCTTAAAACAGTCTCTCTCTCTCTCTCTCTCTCTCTCTCTCTCTCTCTCTCTCTCTCACACACACACACACACACACACACACACACACACAAATGGGTTCCACAAGTTGTGAGGCTTCATATGCCACATGCAGTTATGGACCACATGTGTGCTCTGTCCACGTAGCCAAATCATTTATTCATGCTGTGCCCATGAACACTCGGATGGTAGATTTCTGCTGGTTCCCATCCAATTTCCTCTACTACATCACTGTGTTCTTCCAGGGTCTTTCAGTTTCAACAACAGAAATGCACTCCAGCTAGTTTCGACAGAAAGGAGGCATTTGCTAGAAGTATAGCTTGTATTTCACAGGCAGGAGGGGCTTTAAGCAGATGCCAAGGACTATGGAGGTCAAACACAGGCCCTGCCTCCAAGATCAGAGGCTTGATGCTCTCTCCTCATGCACACTTGTCTCTTTCTTCCGTCTATCTGCAGATTGACTACTGGTACTTATGGGCAAAATGTGGTCACTTTCAAAGGCCCCATCTGCCTGCCACTGTACATGCTAACTTCAAATTCTTAAACAGTCACTTTTTGGGGAAAGAAGGGGCCAATTAGCTTTATGTTGTTGAAGTAAGGAATAATCCAGACTCAGGAAAGATATGTCTTCAGGAAAAGAAGGATTTGGAGAAATATTTAGGAAGTACTTGTAGTTCCACTGGTCAGGCAGGAAAAAAAAATCTATGTGTTTTTTTACCTTCTTCATTTCTCTTTTTTCTATCCCAGTTTGTCAAAATTAGTTGATCTTTTTTTGAAATCTATTGAAATAAATGAATAATTGTATCTATTTCAAGTCCTGTTGGAAAAATGAGAAAGATAAACTCTCAATGAATAAGTAAACCAATATATGTGGGTTCACTTCCTGGCACATCAGAGTGTTAATTGGGGGCAGCAGAGAAGCCACTACTGTCCTGGTCTTGGAAAGAGTTGAGACTGAGCAAGTGGGAAAGGTAGCCAATTCCCTCCCATCCCTTAGAGGTGAGTTGAAGAATGGAGGGAGGAGGCCAGAGAGAGAAGATTTGTCTGCACCACTGAAAAAGGTAGGAGTAGTGGGAGATCCTTTCTTACAGGTGGCCTTCTAGAAGTCTGGAGGCTGAGGGAGCTCAAATTTTTATTGTCTTCTCTAGTTTAACACTCCATGGTGAACCTTCCTAATTGCAAGATCAGGTTCTGGTCTTGTAAAACATTTACTGCCTAAACTTCTCGTGGGAAAGGGCAAAAGGCCAAGAAGAACAATTGAAGTCAGGACAAGGAAGGGAGCACGACTTCCAAGAGTCCAATCCTGGCTTTCACCTCTGCTGTGCAGAGACTCAAAATGTGTTAAACACACAATTAACAAATTGGACTGGGAGCCTGAGGGCCTACGTGTTCTGTCCACATCACAGATGCTGTACTCAGTTCTTTTTTCTGGGTGAGGAGCCAGCTTAGAGCAGAGCTGATGAAGCTGTGAAAGGGGCTTAGTTTGGCCATCCCACAATCTCCGCTTCTGCTCACATTTCCTTTTTTCTTGATGCCTCTTCCTGCACTTTTCCAAAGCTGTCAAGAAGAGATTTTAGTCTTTAGCAACTTAATATGAGTAGAGTACATATTATCCTTTACAGGTTATTTCCAAGTATCACTAATTAAAGCTTTCCCAGACTGTTGAAATAATTTCAAGAGTATACTTTAAAATATGTAACAATTTCTTCTCCCAGATAGAGTCAGATCTTGGTAAATCAACTTAGTTCTCTCAAGGATTGAGAATCAGCCAGTGCACTCTAGTTCTCTTTGTGTTGCTACAATACTAGTTTCCCTATTTCTATACTGGCTGGCAAGTATCTAAGCCCACCTCCAAACTGTTCTAGGGCCTTCTGGATCTGTCCGGGACCTCCTGAGATCCCCAGGATTTAGAGACTATTGGGTCACTCTGGCTGCATTTGGGGCCTCTTGGTCAAGTCACTGTGTCTCAACTCTACAGTCAGCATTCTGTATATAATTGGTTATATGGCAAGGTACTATTCTGATTGCAGAAAGTTTTGAATAACATCCTTGTTTTACTTCTTTGATTATGCCTTTCACTGTCAACACTATAAACTAAGTCACTTCTCCACCCCTACCCCCCGGATCAACAACTATCCTACCAAACTCTTTGTTCTGTTTTGAAATTACAGAGTCCGTCATCCCAAGCAGTGGAACATTTCACGTAAAGCTCCCTAAGAAGCACAATGTGGAACTCGGAATAACAATCAGCTGTAAGTAAAAATGGCTGCTTTTAAAATATGATGCTGTAAAGACATTAGAAAATTGGCTTGTTGGATGGTTTACAGGCGTGGCACATTTTCAGCGTGAGGACCGAGTGTTGCTGTCATGCTGCGAAATGGTGGAGTTGCTCAAATCTCCAGCACTTACTCACCTTTTGAATGGGGCCAGTCACCGAAGCTCTCTCTGATGTTGTTTTTCTTTATAATGTGGAAGTGTGAATATCTACAAAATACAGTAATTTTAAGTATTACATAAAATCATAAACTCCCATACCTTGTACAGTGCCTAGTAAGAAATCAGTAAGTTTTTAATAAGTATGTTACACCTCCCCCTATGAATAATTAGAGGGGCAGAAAAGTGCATATAAATTCTTTACATTTTGGTATATTATGGATTAAGTTTTACACTTAATCAATGCAATAAAACAAATGATCACATTTATTTATTTACTTTCGAGACTATCTTCTTGTGTCTACTGTGACTCTATAACCCATTTCACAAGACTAAAACAAGGTCTCTTCTTTGTTAAATCCCTGCATTCTTCCATGGCGTTGAAAGGTGTGTTGGTAACCAAATGAAAAGGAAAGGCAGAGTATATAAATGTGTTTCATTCCTTTTCTTCCTCAGGCTCTCGTTTCATAACTACTTTGGTAAAAGAACTTTAAAAATTTCAGCCTCAGTGGACTTTCATAAAATGGAAATTGGGGGGAGGGGGCTTGTCCTTTTAATATCCACAGACTCAGTTCATCCATAAATGCCCCAAGAAAATGAAGCAAATGATCAGTGCATAAAGATGAAAGGAGCACAGAGGCAATGACTGTGACCAGGAGGTGGCTGCCTCAAGAAAGAATGATGAGGTTACATGAAAGGGCCTTGCCACACTGTCAGATAGCATTTTTGTCAGTGGTTAAAGTAAAATAAATAAAAGGAGTTCTCAATTGGGCAATATGAAGGGCGACTGCCCAGTCCCACTTTGATGATATAAATTTAACACTAAAAATGCAATTTTATTTATAACTGATAAAACACGCATATCTACCGCAGCACTAGAAAGACTGGTTCTCCAATTCAGAGTCATGTTAAGAATAAGAAACCATATATATGAGAGGTGATCTATAGCCCCCCACGACCCAGAGCTGCCTATTAGGAAGAAAGTAGAAAGACGAATGAGATTTTGGCGGCTCCATCCCTGTTTTAGGTGCAACTAAAGTCATTTATACTCTAAATTGGGTCTCTCAGCCTCTTAGAACTCTGTGAAGCAAATATGGTTTGTGATTATTCTGTCAACAGCCGTGGCTCTTGAGATTGAGGGCACATCATGACTTACAGTCCCCAAAACATTTGGGGTTCAAGGTGGCTTCTGCAACCCTATGTAACTTTAAGGCAGTTCATTTATTCTGTTGATTCCTTCCATCCCTTTGTTCCATCAGACCAGGCTGCTCAGGTAGTGTCTCTTGAGGTGTATAGTGTGTAATCTCTTGGCTCTGCCCAGAAACCTGCCTGCACTTGTCTTCTTTTTCTTCCCTTTTTCTACCTTCACGCATTCAATACATCCTGTCCTCTGTGTGTCTGTGCTAAATTTCAAGAGTAAATGCCCTATCCAGAAGATGCTTCCTGCCGGTGGGTATTTTGAAGGCATCAGCTCTATGGAAACTTCTGCTGATTATTTTACGTTCAAATGTTTTATTTAGGAAAATGGTCTTGTATTATTTTATATAATAAATTTATTCTCAAAAATTAATATAAATAAAAACATAATGTATCCAGTGTCCATCAAAAATAATCCTGTGATATATCTTTTTCAAAAAAAATAGACATTTATATGCTCAGTTTGAGATGTAGTTATGTACATGCAGCTGCACAATATTTGTTTATTCACATGTAGAGTCATTTAAAATTATGTCTTATGATGTTTTTGTGTGTGTGCCAATCATTACTGCTGAAACTGACTCTAACAATAATAATGGCAAAAACCCAAACTCCTGCTCTCCAAGAATGGCTTGAATTGTAGCCAGCCACAAGCAAATGCTATTTATGGAAGCTGGAAGTGCTGTGCCACTCCTAGATGGAGAAATGATACACAAGCCTGTCACACATGCTTGTCAGCCCTTCTAGAGCTACGGCTCCATTTACGCCACTAATCATCACCATGCTGAGTTTGTGTCTCTCATGGAACATGCATATATTTTGCCAGTTGAGAAAACACAACTTGCTATAAAAGGGGGAAAACAAGGCCAGAATCCATTTGTGTTGCTACAAAATAGCAAGTTCCTGATGCCTGTCACAGTCACTGGCACATACAAGGTGCTCATTTAATACCTGTATCTGTTAAGTTAATGAATAAGAAGACTTTATGAGCAAACAATGTTCTACTAATAATAGCCCTCCAGGAAACAAGCCCTCATAGGAGATGATGAATACACATGCTTGTGCATAGACTGTTGCATGAACTGAGGAAGCCTTGACTTGGACAATGATCACCTGATTCCCTCCCTCTGTCCCCAGTTTCCTTACCTATAAAAGGGGTACATATTTCCTCCTGCACAGCATTGACAAGATTAAATGAGTTAGTGTATGTAAAGTCCCTAGAACATGTTGTGAACCCTCATGAGTATTAGTATGATGACAATCCTTAGTTACTTTGCATACAGAGCCTTGTGAAATATTTTAAGCATACCTCCAGACCACAAATTCTAGTGTCCACTCTAATCATACCTCCTACGTTAGGAAATCCAGGGGATCCACTTCTCAAACACAGGTACTGTGAGTGAAACTGAGATTGATTGATTTTCCTCAACATCTTAACATAAAATCCCTTTGTATCTTCTCCACCTTGTGAAAACTCAGAGTACTAAAGAAGGGCCCTCCATCCCAGAAATATCCTATCAAAACCTTTATGACTCACTCTCCAGGCCTGATCAACTAAGAGTCCCTCTGAGTGTGGACGTAATGGGCAGTTTTAGACTAATTTACTTAAGTTCCCACTGAAACACTGATAGAACATTAGCATCAGGCATTACTTTTATGGATGTTATTGCCATATTATGGAGGGATTTACTGTACCAAATAAAGTGGATGCAGTTTGGAACTGGAAGCCACACCCCAACACCCTCATACCCAGCCAATCAGATCATAGCTGTTACCTTCCTGTTTTCAAGACAGAGAACCCTGGTTGTCTGTATCATGTGCCTTCATCCATAAAGTCCTTCTGACAATGGATTTCTGGGGTTTATAACTACTTTATGCTGTGCATAGCACTGCACAGTTTTATACCTTTTCTTATTTAATCCTCAAAGCAATCCTGGGATATCTGTCCCCATTTCATAGACAGGACAGTCTGGTTCAGCTGTGTAACCTGCCCAAAGACCCTGAGCTAATAAAGGGCCAAGCAGGTGCCAAATCCATTCCATCTGCCTTAACCTTGGCTTTACTCTCATGGCACCTCTCAGCCCTGTCGCCATCTGATTGATGAACCTTCCCAGATTCTGTACCAGAAAAGCAAAAGGCAGCATTTTTTTTTGAGTGCAGCTAATTTGTTGCATTTCCTTTTTGGTTGTGACTGAATTGTTTGCAGAAATAAAGGCTTGCTATATTTTTTAGAAAATCATGAAATAGCCTTTATGACAAGCACAACAAATCTGTCATTCCCCCACTAAGTCTTACACACATTTAGAAGAGAATGGTTCATGGGTTTTGCCAATTTTGCAATAAAAAACTACTCAGTGCTCCATTTCAAATCAAATAAACTGGTTTACTTTCCATGCATTGTGTATATGGTTGCAACTAAAGCAAAGCTTAATGAGAGAGACAGAGCGACAGGGAGTTTCTCTCTTGTAGTTTGGTTTCTTCATCAGACTCTTTGAGCCAAGTGCCTTCACTAGCAGAATAAGTTCCACCAATAACTGGATGTCTCAGAATATTCTTGAACCATTTCATTGATTTCCATTTAATTTCAGAATTCACAAGAGTTCACTTGTCTTCAAAAACAGGAAAAGTTTTCAGACAGTATCATTTCCTCCAACACATTTTTTCATTTATGTTGTTTTGATTTTTGTTTTGTTTTGTTTTGGAGTGTGGGTTTGAATCTAGGGCCTCATATATACTAGGCAGGCACTCTGTAGCTATGCCCAGAACAGTTTGCAATTCTGGATTATGACATGAGTGAAAAATGGTAGATGTTTATATTTCTCTAGAGGAATTTTATCAAATCTTTGAGTGAAGGTTTAAATTAATAATAAATTAATTGTAGCGAATAGAATAGTTTGTATTCTTTGCCAGAAGCTAAGTATAATAATTAAATGAAGTCTCATTAATATTTACTGTGAACTGATTTAGACAGGTATTGGTATCTATGTTTGCCTCTTTTTTTTCTAATGTAGTGTTAGATATTAAACCATCTGTTCTCCTGCATAAACATTTTCCTGGAATTCAGATGGGATTATGGGATATGATATGGTTCTATGATTATTATGGGTTGATCAGACTGTTTATCATAAAATCTTACTTCAGGGACCTTCTAATGGTCCCTAAAAGTATATCATTCCAGGCTTCAGGTCGGCAAAACATCTCTCAGAGGCCAATTGTTTCTTTTGCAAATATTGAATATGGTTAGTTTAGTATCAAACTCCTGAATTACATATAAACTTCCTAAGTCAAGATGATTTTTTTTTGTACTTATATGGACTATAACTCATTTCCAGAGGTAATTCTAAGTAAACTCAATTCTAATTGGTTTTCATATTTATCACATGGAAATATTCCTAAGAAAATTTATAAAACCCAAAACTGACTACTGTGAAGAATAATAGTTTCATCTGCCAACCTAATCAAAGTTATATCAGAATATATGAAAATTTAGTTAACTAGCAATGAAATATTTACTACAGCCATTAAAATAAAATAGTCACATTCCAGAACATTTCAGAATGATATGAATTTGTGAGCAGAATTTAAAGATTTATAGCACAACTATCAAAAGATTTCCTTCTGGAAGAAAAAAAAAAAGAACTTCAAATTAGCACTTCTCCATTCTGTCTCCTGGTATGCTTGAGTAACAAGACACATCCCCATCAGCATGTCTCTTCTCTGGAAAGAAGTGCAGGACAGGGTGGGAGAAAGGGTCACCTGTCAGCACCACTAAGGGAAGCCCCAGTGGATTCTAATATTCTCCTATTGAGGTACCAGTCTGTCAGGTCCTCCCTGGAGAATCACTGATTAAAATAGATTTAAGCCTGATGGACAGTTCTCCAATTGCTTTTTCCAACTGCAACTTTAAATGACTTTGCTTTAGGTTTTCAGTTTATAAATAACAAACATTGTTATAGATATAATGTACATGTTTTCTAATTCATTTGACTCATAATGTTTGCTTTGCATACAGACTCTAATTGCATTAATGAAAGTTATTATAAATCAGGGAAAATGTACTGGGAAATCATGGATATAAAGATATGATTGTCCTATGTTCATTATTACAGCACCATCAAGTAGAAAACCAGGGGATCCCCTTGTCATTTCAGATATCAAGAAAGGGAGTGTGGCACACAGGTAAGGAAATCATATTTTCTGGTTTATTCTAAGATCTCTCTTAATTTAAGAAAAAATGACCCCTTCCATCCCAAGGCAGATGTTGTTAATGGTCACTATTCTCATATTGTACAGACAGTCCCTATTAATCAATCATATCTGATATCCCTGATAGCAATGGTTATGTAGATATTCCCCTTATATCAATTTACTTCGGTACCCAAGGCAGACAAGAATCCGCTAAAAATGTTTTTCAGGCCCTTTTATGAGTTTAGTGTGGGCTCTTCTTCATTGACCATCATCCATCTTGGATTTTCCAGCTAAAACCCTGAAATTAGCTCCAATTATGAGAAGTCCTCCTCACAGACATAACAGCTGGTGGAATAGTGTTGCTAAGTGTCCTCCCTGGGCACACAAGATCCTTGAGCATTAAGCAATGTTCATGTCTCCTATTTGGTTCATATACCATTAAAATAAGGGAGTCTCAAACTTTTATTTCAGAGATAAAAATACTTCTTAATTGACTGAAAATACTGATGTAAGACTATTAGGTTTCCTTTCATTTTTCCATTAAGGACTTTTTTTTAAAAATCCCATTTATTACACAATCATGTCATTAAAGAAGTAGTTTAACATGCAAAAGGAAGGAAGGACATTGTGTAAGTTTAAGTGGATAGGTATGTAGGCTCAGCTGTTGTGAAAAAGAAATTTACTAATCGCATGGATGAAACAAAACAGAAGTTTGTCTCTCTCATAACAACTGGGAGGTAGGCAGGCCATCCAGGACTGGAAGTCACTGCGGGGGGAAGGTAGCCATCCCTCCTCCTTGCCAGTCATCTGCCTTTCCTAAACACAGGCGGGAGGTAGGCATTGGGAAAGTGCTAAGAGTCTGGAGCATACATTTTTTAGAAGGTTACTCAGAAAAACAAAGAGGCAAATAGATATTAGGAAACAATTAGCATCCTCTATCAAAGACTTAATGCACAGAGGACAGTTCTTGCAAATATCTGGGTCCATACATGTATGCACATACAAACACATATACACAACATTCTCATTATTTTTCTCATTTCATCATGGTCCTTAAAAACTTTCAACAGACCTGTACTTGTCCATTGCCAGTATTAGATTCTAAGAGACCACTTTCTAAAAAACTAGCATCAGGTTCACCTATACCTCTTCTCCCTACTCCAGGCACATGCAGAAATGGTAGAGATTCCAAGTCTCAGGTTCCCTCCAACTCTGTCCCTCCTTGACTACTCCCACTCTCTCATCCTCTCCTATTGCTTGATTTCCAGGGACCAAAACAGGTACAACAGTGTGGAAGAGCATAAGGACTTGGAGGTCTCTGCAGACCCCAGCCCATTTCCCCCCTTCCCAGGAACCTTGGACTTCCTTAGTGAAGCTTACATGAATGTCCCTGTTTAACTGACAAAAGCATTTTTAAAACGTTGTAATACTCTGCAATTTAATGTCACATCAGCGATCCCAAACAAGGCTGGGAAAAATGGGGTTTGTCAATACATGCAATTTAAAAACAGTTTGAAGACACTCTTTTCCTCTGAAGATTACCATAATGCTACATTATGCTTAATGCCTCTTTAAATGGCCTGCTTAAGCATTTGTCATTAGTCATGTGTCACTCTGCATTTACTCACAGAACTGGAACCCTGGAACTTGGGGATAAATTACTTGCAATTGATAACATCCGGCTGGACAACTGTTCCATGGAAGATGCAGTTCAAATCCTCCAGCAGTGTGAAGACCTAGTGAAGCTCAAAATCCGCAAAGATGAAGACAATTCAGGTATTGATGGCATCCTTACTTATGACTGATTGTTCTGACTGCCCATCTGTCAAAAATGTACTAGTGCTTGATGTTTTACATACAACAGCTGGCTAGTGACATTGCGACACTGTTTTTTTTTTTAATGTAGTTAAAAGAGACTTTAAATTGTGCATTCGGAGTATCATACAAATTTTAAATAATGGTGCTTTAAATTAAATAATTGAGGTATTTTCACTGTACATATTATTGTGTTTGTATTAACTTTTCAGGGTGAAACTAGATCATCACCCAATATCACTCTAATACAATGAAATTAATCATTTCCAAGTCTTGGTTAATATTTACATTACATAATTATATCCATAGCAGATGTTGCATTTTTACTTAACTTTACAGACATTTTAACATTTACAAGCCCTTAATATCTGTTATTTACCGCATATAATTTATTTACCATTCTTTTATTCTTAAATTGTTCTCAATTGCTTCATTATTGTGGATAGTACCATCATAGACATATTTATGCATAGATACTTTTGTTCCACTTTTCTTCTTAGAAGATTGCTGAGGAAAAAAAAAGAAAAAGAAAGAAACTTGTGATCCTTGCACCATGTTGCTTTTTTGAAGGGCTATGTCCATTCTCAGGTGTCCAGTATCGTGTGAACACAGCAGGAGTAGAGCAATGTTTCTCAGAATCTAGTAGGCCTCAGAATCGCCTCTGGAGCCTATGAAAACACAAGTTCCAGGACCCTATCCCCAGGTGGGGCCTGTAATTCTGCATTTCTAACTAACTTCCAGGTGATGCCGCTCAGTCATGCAAAGAGCACACTTTAAGTTGGCACTGCCGAGGGAGCCCATTGTCTGTGATAACAACTTAGAGCCAATTTAAAAAAAAAAAAAAAAAAAGTTCATTAATTGAAAAAGTCAGATTATGTGGAAAATTATAGAAAATGATAAATATTCAAAGCATAAGCATTTAAATTTTGCCAATCCTATGGGTAAAGTCAAGGCCTTTTCTATGAATAGGATTCTACTGAGTATAGTTGCAAATCTTTGTCTAAACTATACACATATAGTTCATGATTTCCGATTTTATTTTACTTTTAAAATTAAATGTATTTTAACTGATAAATAAAAACAAAAATTATACCCGTTAATATGGTAGCATAATGTTTTGACACATGTATGCTTTATGGAATGTTAATTCAGGTTAAACATGTATCTCCTCAAACATTTATTATTTTGTATGATAAAAACTCTCAAAATCCTTTCTTCTACCTTTTTGGAATGTATAGTATGTGGTTATTATAAATAGTCCCCTTACTGCACAATAGCACACCAAAACTTTTTTGCAGTCTTGATTTTAACACAGTGAGAATTTAAAGCAATCTTATCACTTACTTCACCTATATTTTTATTTTCTGCAATGTTTTAGAGTTTTTCTCCTATTTAATTAACAATAGATCTGTACCTAATGTATTTGTGTTTGCTTTCATGGAATAACTACATAGATTCTTTATACAATAACAAGTAAAACTTGCATAAACAAACTTGGGAATAAACACAATTCTAAACTTTTAAGGTTGTAGCTCTGGCAGGAGCAGAAGCAGAAAGGTACAGGGGAACTAGAAAAAGAAACCTATTTCTCAGGAGAATTTTATGGCATTAGTCGGTATATTTTATAATAGAAAGCCACAATGAATCCAGTAAAGTGAAAACTGGTTACAATGTAGTTAAATTGGTTAAGTGAGGACTCATTAGAATATAGATATAGATATGTAATTTCATCCCAACTGCATTAATCATCTTTCTATCAGTGTGACAGATTACCTGAGAAAGTAAATTTAGAAGAAGGAAAGGTTTGTTTGGGCTCATAATTTCAGAGGTTTCAGTCCATGGTTGGTAGGTTGGTTTCAGAGTTTGGGGGCCTGTAGTGAGGCAGAACATCATGGCTGGGAACATGTGACAGAACAAAGCTGCTCACCTCAATGTGGCCAGGAAGCAAAGGGAGAGAGAGGAGAAGGGGGCCCTTATCCCAATATGCCCCCAATAACCTAACTTCCTTTCACTATGCCCCACCTCCAAAAGCTTCCACCTCCTCTCAACAGTACCACAGACTGGCCACCAAGCCTTTATCATGTGGGCCTTTGCAGGAACATTTAAGATCCAAATCAACCAGCAGTGAACTATCACCCATGTTCTGGAATCTTCCCATAAACCACCTAGATCTAGAGTTCATGGTCATGTCAGACCATGTGTTAATGCTTTTTATACAAAGTTTTTAAAAAATTAGTAGTTACATTGATCAATACAGTCGGTAATGATGATTATATACAAATATGTTTTATAACCATGTTTTAAAAATACGTACTCATTTGTACTCATTATTTCCCAAGCAACTGATTTTCTATGCCAACATTTGCATTCCTTTTGTTCTGAGTCTGCTTCAATTGCACTTGCTTTCGGGGATTTATTTCAAGAGAGGGCTAACGCCTCCAGCATCATCTGGGTTCCCTCCTAGCAAAGAGGCAAAGCTCTGTGGAGAAAACTATTTTACATGATTTGTCCAGCTAAGTAGATCTCAGCTACTTCCTTGCACAATGAAAAGGCAGAGCCTGAGATGAATATGCATGGTGTATACAGTTGGCAATGTGTCCCATTTCAAAGCCCAGCTGTGCAGATGCACTGGCAGGGATTTCAGAGACAAAACACAGCACTTGGAAAGCTAAATCTTAGTTTCAGTTGCCGATTTCCTTTGGCTTGCTTTTCAGCTTTATACCTTTCTTTTTATAATCCTCATACCAATATTATGGTAATTATCATGTTTATCAAGAGTTTTTTACCTTTAAAAATGTACTCTTTTAAAAATTCTAAATTCTTCCATTGAAAAACACACATAGACAAAAATAAGACTATAAATACTGATGGGAGGGATATATTTACCCAAACCAAATTTTCTCAATGGTATACCAAAATATAGATACATTTACACATGTTTTATACCAGATCACTATTTAAAAACTATCATCTGATCATTGGTTTAGAAGAATTAGGATGGGCCTAATATCCTCTTCCATCATGAGAGTGAAAATATAATTTGAGAAACTAAAATTGTTTTTTATTTAGAGCAAATCAAGTGGGAGGAACCCCCATTATTAAAAGTGTAAAATCTGATTACAGATTGGTTCAAGACAGTCTGTGTAATCATAAAGCACAACATTTAAAATCAGACCTGAGTTTAGAGTTTAGCTCTACTGTACCTGAGCTTTGTGAGTCTGGGAAAGTTACTAAACCTCTCTGATATTCAGCTCCACTTCCAATAATGTGCATGTAAAAGTATGTATCCCCCTCAGTGAGCTGTTGTAACTTGTTCTGGCACAGTTGGTGTTCAATAAGTGGGGAGTGCTTTTACTGTAACTGCCTCCTGAAATCCCTTTCCCTGTACCCATTCTAATCCTTAGTCAAGATATAACTCAGTGGAAGATAAGCACTTATCATCAGGTCAGTGACTTATTTGGGAACCGTAATATTGTTCCTAATCTGAAATTATGCTGGTAATTTGAATTGTCACTCTGAATCATTCCCATCCTTTGTCTCAATGATTTTGAATGGTAATATCCAGTATACATCCTCTACCCCTGAAATATTTCTTATACTAATACTGGGCTTTCTCTACCCTAAGAGTTTTCCATGTCTTTCTTTAATTACCTGTTCCTTGCCATCCTTTGCCAATGGGAGTTTATGACCATGCCTGATGCAACCCGATTTCCTAAGGTTGCCTCAAAGATGCTGCTTCACAATGTCAGCATTTCTCCTAGGTGTACTCGTCTCATTGTTCTGCCATTGACCTTATGCTAGGAGACAGTGGAACTAACCCATGTGTTGGCCAAGTCTTTGGTTTTCAGCTATGCCATCGGCATCATTTGGTGTCTGTGCCATAGTAGGAACTGGGCAGGGCCCAGTCCCTGCCCTTAAATCAGTCATTGCTCAGTAGGAAAAACAGAAGAAAACCCACATTTAATACTACAATGAATATTCTCTAGGTTTGCATACATGTTAAGAGAAGGTGGTGGTATCCATTTAGGCATGGGGAGTTTGAGGAAATGAGTCTAACAAACTTAGCCTCCACAGTGTTGGTCCTGTCCAGGCAGGACAGGAGAGTGGAGGTAGTGTGCCATATCCACATAGGCAGCTGTGGCTGAAGCTTAAAGTGTAAGGACATTGTAGTGGGTGAGCTTGGAAGGCCACTGGAGACAAACCCTATGGGCCTTGTACAAACCATTTTAAGAAGTGGGAATTTCACCCTGAAAGCCCATGGGGGGCGGGGCTACCATAGGAGTGCAGCTGGGGAGTGCAGCCGTACTGTTGGGTTAGTGACCACTCATTTCCCATCTGACAAGCTGGGAAACTTGAGCCACTCAACGTCTCTGAGCATCAGTTTCCTCGTCTGTAAATGTGCATTTGATGCCTATTTTGCGTGGCTGTTTTAAGGATCAAAGGAGGTAATTATTTTAGCAATATTGTTACACCCAGTGAATGTGTTATCCTTATAAGAATGTTGATAAAATCAATTTTAGTTATATTTTAGGATGGCAAAATCTGCTGGAACACTGGGGTGGTAGGCGTTTTTCTCCCTCTAGATTCAGTTACCATTCTGCCTTTGCAAGCTTTTGTGTTTGACATCTTTCATCATCACAGGAACATAACCCAACGAGAGACAAAGCGTTCTTGCATGAGTCCAGATCTCCAAGATGATGGCTGCTACTCAATCCCCAAGTCCACAAAGATGCAAATAACCCTCTCCAAGAAAAACCTGTTGTTTCACCTTGACTGCATCTGGGTCCAATGTCAGTGAAGAGGGGAGAGTGAGATCTGGCTGGGTCTGGAGTAGCAGCCCTGAAGCAAAGCTGTAGAGACTTTTGGGAGTCTGTAGGAAGAGATGAAGGTTTACCAATCTATCCTGTATAGTTTGCAAGGATCTGTTTTATATTACTTCTTTTCTGTCAATCAAATTCTCT